GTGCATCAGTCATTTGGCTGACAATTCATCCTGGTTGGCAGGTTGGGAGGAATTGAGGACATTCAGGAATACCAGAACTATCTGAAGAGATCTTTCTCGTTTTCCACGAGTTGGGATCCGGACGCGACTCTTCATCGATATAGGACATCTTGCTGTACGGTCTACCTGGATGGGCTTGCCGGACCCCCTGCGAGGTACCTCCCAGACCGAAAGGTCAGACGCTCCCTGCGTTTTCCCTTGTTCGAGTCCCTGGATTTCGTTTTCAACCAGGGAAATATCGACCTCCTCTACATCTCAAGGAGTGGAGTCCTGGAGGGTGGATTGGACGCAAGGGGGTGCCTCCTACACTCTCCTCTGCCCGAGTTCTCATATGTATGGAATAGTTTTCTCTTAGTAGGACCCGGCGTCAAGACTTTAGTCCACGGAGGAGGACCCATCAGGCCCCGACCAGTTCGGCTGGATGATGGACCCATTTGCTCAGCGATGGACGCTTCCCTCCAGGAGTATTCGACACGGAGATGCGGACGAGTCTCCTCCGTTTGTTTGGTCTCAGGACCTTTCTATAGGTGCCTCGGTCTGCTGGTACTTTCGAATAATGATCTCCGCTTCTGCCGAGTCAAACCTAGTTCCTGGATTCCCTGGACCCTCACCCATTTGATCTCGGGGATTGTGAGACTTTGGTCTCATGGCGACCCTGACATAGTTGAGTCTGGTACGGATCTCCTAATTTTGCTACCGCTTTTACAGGGTTCGAGTATTGTTCGGTCACTTTATTACCGGGGACTGCCATATTAATTAGATTAGGTAGCGCATACGACTGTTGTCGGCGGGTCTTGCTCTGCTTAGAATTCCCTTTATGATTCCTGAGGACGGGTATTCATCTCCCAAGGGGGTACACGCATTTTTGTCATGCTCCTATGGTGGGTTCTGTCGGGTTTTGCCCATTCACTGATTCTGGATTTATTTCCGTTATTATACTTTGTTTTTCTTTCAGATGGGTTCGGCGGTTCGGACCTTAGTTGTCCATCAGCCTTAGTCAGACCCGAGGGTCATATTCTTACTTTGGTAGAGCTCCCACCTTTAGGCGGTATTCTACGTCACCGTTTGTTTAAATGGTTTTTCCCTTAATGTACCGCTTGGTTGTGGTTGGCATTGGCGGGGCGTATAGGTTTTTTCGGTTCACTTCAGTCCGTAAAACAGCGTCTTCAGGTACCGACATTGTGGGCGTTTTTCTCCAAGACATTGTACGCTTTCCTGACGGTTACGAGGAGCTATCTTCGCAGAGTTTAGGTTGGTACGGTGGATCGTGTTTCTCTGGTCTTTGCTAACGAAGTAAATACATCTGACATGAGTGGTGCTGAGGATGGCGTGCCTGATAAGGAATCTGGTGCAGAATCACAACACTGTTCGAAATTTTCTGAAGTGTAATACTGGTATTTTGACTATAATGCACACATAAATAACTAATTTGTTAACTTTATTTTTCAGACTAGAAAAATGTTCACTAAACTGTCACAAACAAAAATGGCAAAAACAAAAATACATCCTAATTTTGCACCTAAGATTACAGTTTACTAATAGTTTAAAGTTTAGTTATGTATTTTTTTGCGGGGTAAAAATTATTATCAATGTTTTAGACTTTTTTTTACTATGCTTGTTCCCACTGTGTATCAGATCACTGGTTTTATCAAAAGGTTGGAGATCCCATGACCCCCTAGTACGGTATACCTGTCATGATACCATGGAGCTAAGATCCAACCCCCTCCACTCTCCACTGTAGTAGATAATTTACTGCAAACCAATTAGTTTGAATGACTATCTGTTCCTGTCCAAATTAAAGATAATAAAGTTGCGTGCACGCAGAAGTAAATTCACACTGAGACACAAAGTTCAGGTTAATGAAAGAACTTCGGAGAGGTTTAATGGCTTCTGACAGAAAATGGGTGCGCAGACCCTTTTAAAGGCATTATTACATCATTGAAGAAAATCAAGATATAGACAAATAGACATTGTTAATTGGCTTAGGTGCTAAGTAGTTAGTAAAATGCCCTCCCTATGGGGTGTACCATCTTAAGTCACTATCCACGTCATGATTATCTCCTCCAGGTTTTAGCGCCATTTTGCTAACATGAGGAGCTCACTCGACGGGAGGGGCCTTTTGGCAGCTATCCATTTAGAGCGTAGCTGGCACTTGTTAGTTTCTCAAGGTTAGGTTTCAAGGCTTTTAGTAAACACACATTTTATCAAAGCTATTTCTTGCTGGCATGCAAATTCTATGTTCTATAGACAAAGCTTTCTTGTAAAACTATGGGGGCCTCTTAGAGGTATAGCAAGAGAATTTAAAGGGGCCTTACAGATTTATAGAGGCCTAATAATTCTACAACAGTCCCCCCTAAAATGTTATTTGCTAAAAGACAAAACTTTATTTGTTAGTATCGGAAGATGTGTTAGCCCAAAGACACAGAAACCCCATGACCGCTGACTTAGTGTTAATGCAAAGTGCAAGTCTATCCCTCTCCTGACCCTAACAGGCTGCAGCACATCCGTCAGTACGGTTCAGGAACACTCTTCACTCCGCTGGTAACCCATAGTGGCTTATCCACTACTTCTCCGTACGGCAGTCTACCCATAAAGGCGGACGCTGTCCCTGTACTGTCCCTTCCTAGACTTTCTGCACTTCATCAGTATAAGGGAGAGTTTGTAGCGGAATACAGGGTGAGATGAGGTCTTGATCATCGATTGTCAGATGAGTGAAGGTTGGTGTTGCTTGGTCTACAGTTTTCTGCAGGAATTTCCTTAGGCATGGGAGGACACAACAAATGAGAAGAGCGAGAATAAAAAGAAAAATTAGTAAGGCAATACCAATCTGGACTAAAGCTCTCTGCCAACCCGTCATCCAACCAAACCATTTTTCCCAGGGATCAGTAACTCCAGAGTTTCTCTTTAACTCTTCAGAGAGTCTATGTAATTTAGCTATGGCCAGAGTGACTTTACCATTAGGACCTGTGTTTTCTGGAATGTAAGTGCAACAAGTCATAGTGTCGGGTAGTATTTTACAGACCCCCCCTTTTTCGGCTAAGATCATGTCTAAGGCCAGTCTGTTCTGGAAGGTCATTTGAGATGTGGCCTGTAATTGCTCGGCCAAGCCCTGGAGGGCATCCCTGGTGTAGTTCACGAAGCGCTGTTGGTTGTAATAGATATAATTAATCCAATTAAGGTTTTTGTTGGCAGTGACTATAGTGAACAGTGATTCAAAACCTGCAGCTACTTCATCTCTAGCTTTAAATTCATTAGGCACCCCCCTAGGTACCCCAATGGCATCTATGTAAATGTGGGGGTCAAAACTGCCTTTTACTGGAGTTTCGCGCCTCACTCTGGCTGGTGTATGCGGAGGGTCGTATGTGTCATGATGATTATCAGAAATAATATGAATGGGCATGATAACTTTGGCTAGGGTACACTCACCCCACCACTCAGTTTCCAGCCTAGATCTTAACTGTAGATCCCCACATAACCAGTAAATATCCCCCAATGACCTGGTATGGTGTTGCAACAGGCGTATAGGAACAGTTCTGTAAGTGGCGCAATAACCTTTAGAAAAATTACCCATGAATTTACCAATCCCGTCATACATGGCATCAGGGGCGGACTGAGAACCCTCAGGGCCCCCGGGCAAAATAAATCAAGGGCCCCCTTACAGGCCCCACCCATACTCTGCAGCAAGCGCCACCCTTGTCCCGCCTCCAGCCACACCGTACACAATCTTTAGACACAAGGAACAAAAGGGCAATAAGCCCTTCGAGGCCCCAGTAGAGACTACAATTGAGGGCTAATGGGCCAAGGAGGGGGGTCTTTCTAGCGGAGGCTATCTCAGTGTCCTTTAGAGGGTGTGTTAGAAAGAATCCCCTCCAAGCCCCATTAGAGACTACAATGGAGTCTAAAAGGCTTGGAAGGGGGTCTTTCTAACAGAGGCCATCTCAGCGTCCATTAGGTATCCCCTGCTGGAAACAGTCGCCTCCAGGCCCCAGTAGAAACTACAATTGAGGGCTAATGGGCCATGGAGGGGATTTCTAGCAGAGGCTAGAGTCTAATGGGGCCTGGAGGGTGGTCTCTCCAACACTCTGGTTCCTATTCACAATATAGCAACACAACATAGCTCACTGATACCTAAGCCAAGTTGGCTCCTCTTACCTTAATTACTGTTGCTGGCTGGCAGTCTGTGGGCTTGCTGGCTGCGGCTGGCAGGCTGTGGGCTTGCTGGCTACTGCTGGCAGGCTGTGGGCTTGCTGACTGCGGCTGGCAGGCTGTGGCTTGCTGGCTGTAAGCCTGTGGCTTGCTGTAGGCCTGTGGGCTGGCTACTGGCCTGTGGGCTGGCTAACTGGCCAGCCTGTGGGTTGGCTGGCTGGCTACTGGGGCAGCCTGTGGGTTGGCTGGCTGGCTACTGGGGCACTTGTAGATTATTTAAAGAAATAATCCATGCACAATAACCACTACTGCTCAAGAGTAAGTAGTCAAACCGTTTAAGAACAGTTTGACAACTTACCTGGGGTCTGCTGGGATATGAGGCTGTAGTAGGGAATAGGAGCAGTGGTGCAATGTGTGTGAAAGGTTCAGTGTGTGTGTGGGGGTGTAGTGTGTGAATGTGTAGAGTGTGTGGGCAGTGTATGTGTGTGGCAATGTTAGTATGGGGGGCTGTGTATGGGGGTCTGTGTGTATATGGGTGGGCAGTGTATGTGTGTGTGTGAGGCAATGTGTGTAAATGTGTATGGTGGGTATGGGGGCAGTGTGTGAATGTGTATGGTGTGTGTGTGGGGGCAGTGTGTTTATGGGGCTAGAGTTCACTCTCACCACTGCGACCACCAGGAATCCATGGGGGTTACAGTGTTGAGAGTGAACTATAGCCCATAGCTCCAGGGCTAGAGTTGACTCTCGCAAGAGCAGTAGCGTTGCCATGGTAACCGCGGCAACGCTCTGTGCTCGAGCAAGAAGGACCCAGAGGAGCTGCAGGGTGAGCTCCCAGGTCCTCTCTTCCTCCCCTGCC